AGAGAGAGAGAGAGAGAGAGAGAGAGAGAGAGAGAGAGAGAGAGAGAAAGATTTGACGCAAACTAGTATAACCTCTTAAGAAACATTATTTAGTAGGTGTATTCGATGAGAATAAGCGCGAACATTACATCGAAAAAAAAAAACAAACTAAAATACATTTTATTTTATGATTCATTAATATGGGATTTGCTTTAAACTAAAGAAAATCCGTTATATTGTTATGCGATCTAAATTCATTCCGTGTATCGTGTCCAGATAAACAACTGCAAAGCGTTGGCTAAAATTTGAACCGGTCGATGGCATAAGGTTCTTAGTCTTTTCGTAAAATGTTACACTTCTATATCGTTAAGATAAGAATCGGATTCACTGTTAGAAAAAAGGTATTTCCATGATTCGATGATTCGTCACACGTAAACACGCATACACATTCGTACAATGGGTCACATTTGTAGTGATAAAAAAAAACAACAGCAAAAACAAGTCATTGGCTTGCACTCACCTTAAGGTTTTTTTGCCGGCAGATGCTTGGATTTCGTATAAATTTTAAATAAATTAATGTGAATGGCAAAAAGAATTCCAACGGTAAATGTTTTTCATCAAGATTCTGGTTGTCACTTTAGTTTCGCGTGCGTTATTGTAGCCTGTTAGTAACAAAATATTTCATTCTCATTTCTTCTTCAGAAGTTTTCACTTGAAAAAGTTTTATCCGTTGAATAATTTATATCGCACTTTGAATTTATTCAAGTGAGTTTATTTCCGAGAAACACTTCAAGGTCCGACTGTAAGTAGGTGGAGTGCTGAAAATGGGATCTTTCAAAGTCTTTGCATTCTGTTCAAGGTATCATTGCTGCTGCTGTTACTACTGCTACTACTACTACTACTGCTGCTATTTTCGTTTTTGTTGTCACCACATAATTCTATTTCACAAAATTGCATTCGAAGAATGAATTAGCCGTTTCTTGTCGTCGAGACACTCCTTGGCCGGTCTTTTTCTGCTAACTCACGCTTTATTCGCTCAATTAAAAATGATAATGAAAACAAACACTATCAAGCACATTATAGCACAGCGATGCAATGCAATGCAACGAAAACAAACTTTTATCCGGATCCAGAGTTTTATACGAAGAGCAGAGAAATAACGAAAAACTAAATACTAAAATCATGAAAACAAAACGTAATGTTCAAAGACATTAATTAGACTTTAATTACGATATAATTATTATAGACTTCATTACTATCACGTAATAATAACTTGCTCGTAATTCCTGAATTTCCAATTTGTGAGATGCGCACACACTTCGTCTATTTCACTCGAGCGATAAGCATGGGCAATGTGCACGCGGCAAAAATGCACAGGAAATTTAAAATTATTCTAATATCGATTGTATTTATATCAATACTGTGGTTATCACGCTTTGATCGCGCTTCTACTCGTATCGATGTGATGATGATGATGCTTCTTAAGCATGGTACTTGCTGTCGCTCCACTCGGCAAACATTTATCGACTGTGCTCTGGTGGCGAACCAGCTTTACCATCAGCACGCGTATCGCTTCATTTTTTTGTTTCGTTTTATTTCATCTTCATTTCTTCCTTTGCTCCGGCAGCTGCCTTTAGAAACACTACATCAATGTGTACGATTGTATATTCGGAATATGAATGGCGGCAACAGCAGCAGCAGCAGCGACGGTGTAGCAAGTGCAGCGAAAGCACGTTGGGACTCTCTCTCTCTCTCTCTCACACACACTGTATCTCTTACATTTTACGTGTAAATGGTGTGTATATATGTAACGAGTTCTGTTTTTTGTGAAAAATGAATCACGACACTGATGTTTTGTGCTTCCTCGTCCATTGTCAAACAAATTTACAGTCCCATATGAAACGTATATATGTGTTGTTGCTGCTTGTGTCGTTAACAACTTGTTGGTGCATTTACTTGATCACTAACATGTCATGAAAAGTGACTCCTTTTCTAAACAACTGGCAATTCTACAGCAACTTTGCATACTAGAGTTACAATGTGCGTACGGAACTAACAAAGCAAAGTGAAACACGATTCTGCGATGGATTCGTTCAACGACGAAAATTCTGTGTTTTCAATGTGATCAAACACACTCACCAAATTTTATTATATTTGTTTGGTGTGTTTTGTTTGCTCCAGTGTGTGACATTGGTGTACAGCTGTCAAACACTCGATGAACAAACTGTGGCCGCAAAACTTGATGCTTTCATTTGATATATATATATATATATATATCTAAAACATGTTTATTAACCCATTCTTCGCTGCGACATTTTTCTCTATATCTGTAATTGATAATTGTAATATAAGAAATGAAAGCTGATCATTCAAAGATACAATCAAAACTTTAAAATCCTGAAAAAGTGGTTCCAGTCTGAAGTTATAGTCGTTGGCGTAAAATTTAAGCGCTTTTTTCACTGATGCCGTATGGCGTCGTCGCGGCAAATGGGTTAACATTATTATCAGTATATATAGGTATTGTTGCATGAATGACAACAAACAAGGTGCGTACGTCGATTGACATGCATTCAAGCACTTGTTTACTGAACTAATTCAACACACAGTGTGTTTTCTTCTTATTTCTATTTGTTATTCTTTCTCCTCCTCCTTTCTCCAAGTCATGTGTTTCCGTTAATAGATCGAAAGCATATAGTGAACGATTTTGTCCACTATCCACATGTTCCAATATAACAGTGCCTCAATAGTTGTTTAACCTCTTTTTCGTATTCACTTAATACGAAATCCCATTTATTCATCTATTGCCATGCGCTATGGCTATGGCTCACTGAAGAAGAATAACGCCAGAAAATGTGTTTAAGACAAAAGTCAAGATACATAAATACAGACACGTGTTTAGCCGTTTTTTTTTTTTTTTCAACCTTTTTCATAAATCAGAAACCATTTAATGAATACGAACGGTTCTGGTAGGATTATTCTGGAATTGATGCATATCAATGGCAATAGTCGAAAAAAAATACCCAATTTTATTCATAAAACCATAGCGTTTAAATGGATTTTATGTACATTTCGCTCAAGTATCATTTCGAAATCATTTTATGCGAAGTATAGTTTTCACTGATTAGTGGAATATCATAAGTTTACCGCACGTTGCTTCTAATGAATGGATTTAACGGTGTGAACAGACAAGCCGCACGGAACTAAATGAATAGAAAATTATGACAAAATTTTTAAACATCGGCATGTGATGATGGAGGGGCAATCACAATATAAGAGGTATCAATGGTCGGCTGTTTGCAGCGACGCTCAATTCACACGCGTGTCAACGGCACTGATTCACAATCTAACGTTTATTACAATTTATTTCGCTTTTTTATGGAAATAATATGCGCGATGCTCATATTTTTACAAACTAAGCACGGCGATAAGACGGAAATTAGAAGAGTTTAAATGATCATTTTCGTACACATTAAACAAAGAAATTTTTATGGACTGCTACACACACCATCGTATGCTTGAAGTGGTCCGAAAGTCTGGGATCTAAATTACTTTCACTTGGACACGATGACTTGATGTGAAAGAGTGAATAATTGTTCATGAGTCAATGTTGATAGTACTTTTTATTCACTTCGTCAAGAATTTGGGATTCAGTAGATGCCTCGCCGAGATGGCGGAAAACGAAACTTGAAAAAGAAAATTAACTACCCTAGTTTTCAGCACATCTCCGTCAACCTTATCTGTCTGATAATATTCATTTGTGAAAATTATTAGGTAAACACAGAGAACTTATGTAAATCAGCGAATTTCTCGATGGTATCTGCGGTGTATTTATATTGATTTCATACTACGACTAGAAGCTCACATTCACATTTGCTCAATTTGTATTCTGCAAACACCGTCGCTATCGTACAGTATTGACACAATTTTTTCATCTCATTTTCTATTGTACTGACGACGACAACAACAACAACAGCAGCCGAAGCAGCTGCAATAGTAGTTGCTCATACACAGGTGGAAAGAGGTTCATTAAAAAAAAAAAAAAAAACCTGCACCCAACAATAGTCTTTAGTCAAAAAACGACTTGAATGCGGTGAACTAGATACAAAACTCGGCTTTGATCCATATGGAGAAGAAAAATCGAGAGCAAAAATCCAATGCAAATGGCACAGAGGATTTCAAACTAGATAATACACTGAAGTTTGAGTGTGAGAAACTAAATTCATAGATTTACACCAGCAATCACGTAAGAACAATCAAATCGAAGCAGTATACACATACAATTCCATTGGTGGTCTTTTCAACAGCCAACCAGAAGAGAGAAAAAACCACTTACCGTACTTTCTTTGGCAGAATCAATCAATAATAATGACGATTGAACATTAATTCCACATATACAGCTGGAAATTCTTTTCAATTTTTTTGGAATGAAAACACATGCAAAACATTTCATATATAATATTTTTCATTTCTTATTTATTGAGTAGATTATTTTCATGACATGAATACATATAATTTATTTTCTCATTTCATCGCTCCTTTTTGCTTCATCCTTCATTCATTTATTATTTATTTTTATGTTTTTGTATCCCTATAATAATAACATGTTTTTTCTCTTTTATTTCGTTTACATTTTAATGTTTTAATAAATAGGTTTTTTGCATCGTTTTTTGTTTATTTTTTTTTTTTTTTTAAGTATACATATTTATATTAAACAATTTTCTTTACTTGTCACTGTATATCGCTGTCGTGGTGAGTGAGTCTCTGTCTATGTATGTATGGGTGTCTGATTCATTTATTGTTTTATTTTGCACATTAGCAATTTTTTTTTTTTTTGCTCGGCTAATATAATTACATATTGTAATGTAGTTTGTTTGCTTTGTTTTTTGTTTTTTTTTTGTTTGTTTGTTTAAATCCACAACCATTCTCATTTCATAAATTTTAACCATTTATTTATAATATAGAGATTTATATGTACTGTATGTTTGTGGGAGTTTCTAACTCATTTCATTTGCCTGTCTGTCTGTATTCTGAACAGTTTGTGAATGTGATGTGCATTCTGTCTTCACTTCGGCTTCTTTAAATATATACTTGTAGAATTGGAGTTGTTTAGAGAAATATAGAGTACATTTGATTTGATTTTCTTATTCAAGTCATTTCTAGATATATTCTCCCTCTTCAACATCATTTTTTATTCATTGTTATCTTTAAAATGGTTTACTTTATTGATTCGGTAGGCAATTAGTTTCAGTAAAATGAATGAAAATTGATGACAACATTTTGATGCTATCCTATTCACTGTGTGTGTTTGTCGTGATTATGAAGCAGATGCAAGTCTCTTTACGCTAAATCTAAATATCTAGTATATGTTCCTCTGTATCGAAAGAGATTTTGAATATTTGATTGCTGCCAAAAATGTGTATGAGTTTGGATGAGTTTAAATGTGATAACCGATAAATTGCTTGTAAAAATTATGCCAATTTCATTTTTCCTGAACATCAAACGCATATCAACTTTTGTTCAAAAATGTTTGTATATATATATATATATTAATATATTGCTTTAGTTTTAAACAAATCAACAAAGTCTGCACCAAATCATTCAATGAATGTGACTTTTAACAAGTGCGACCCCGAACAGTTCGATCGAATCAAACAAATGCACTATTGTTGTGCTGAGGCCTTTTTCATGTGAAGGCAATTAAAGACAAAATCTATATAGCAATTTAATACCATCACTTTGTTTAAGTACAACCAACCTTCTCAAAAAAAAAAAAATGAACACGAATTTCAATTCTTGCATTCAATAACAGTCAATGACAGATAGCTGGAGATATATGCCGAGCATAGAAATTCTTCAAGCTGAGATTGGGACATTTTGACTTTGTGACGTGATCTCTATATATAAATTCATGGTGAAATCCATACAAATTCATGGATACCATCATGAATTTGTATGGAAGGCACGTCACAAATTCAAAATGTCCCAATCTCAGCTTGATGAGTTTCTATGCTCAGCATATATCCCCAGCTATCTGTCAGTGATTGTTCAATAAAGAAACCAACAACAACGAAAAAACTAAAATGGGCATTTTTAAATATTGCTTGGTTACGTGTTTTCTTTAGATTTTCGATTCAAAAGAATCACAATATCGCCAATATCAATTGTGTCGCAAAAACACACTTTTATTCACTCATTTGATAACTAAATATCTATTAGTGGTATCTGGTTTCGTTGCTGTACAAAAAATGAAATGATACCGGTAATGTGTGTGTGTGTGTCAGAGTTAATCGGTGTAATTTCGATAAAAATAATAAATTTTGTTGAAGCCGTTGATTTAAAGTGACTTTTTAAAAATGGTATTAGTGGATTTGTGTCCTGTTTTCAGTTTAGTTTGTATTATTATTACTATTATTATTATTATTCAACATTCGAATTAATAAATGTCTATATAAAATTTCAACAACAAAATATTGTCCGAAATTGTTATGTCTACTTTTAACCAATTTGAGTTTGTAATATTATTTGTGTGTGTGTGTGTGTTGAAAATGATGTTACATCTCACGGTTGCAAGATCTTTTTTACCATCCAAAAATGAAATCAATACATTCATCAACAAAGGTACGTTCATCATTAGTGTTAATAATCTGTTTATATTTTTCATATGACGCTCAGTGCCGAACGATTGAATTGACGAACCTGGATTCTATTCTAGATTCTTCATGGTATTGAACACGAAATAAATTCGTGGCATTTCCACATCCATTTGAATAAAGATTTTTTTCTTTCTAAAATAAGTTGTGTTTGTTTTTATTTTTATTTTTTTTTTAGCCGCCTATTTTCACTCTTTATGTTCCTATGGTCTGCTTTTAGTATTAATTAGTATTTGCATGCTTTTTCACAATGTTGTTACGAATGGGTTATATTTTGTAATTGTATTTTTTGTTCCAGTTGTAATTTTCCATTTAGTTTGGGATTCCATTTTGCTTAGACGATTTTTGAGCATACAGTGTTATTTTCTTCCGATGAAACGAAGTGCCGGTATCACATAATATTTTTGTTTTAATTTTTTCCTGTCCCATTTTATATCATTTTAGCGATCGATTCATTTTCAAAGGAAAATAAATTAATTTTTCCGTCTATTATACATTATATAAACAGGTCTACAGTTTTAGTTTATCGAAATCGACTGAAAATAAAGTACAGACACTTAATGAATGAAAGAAAATAGGAAATATGAGTCCATGAAGCCAAAGTACATGTAGAAGACTGGGTTGAGGTTGGTTTTTATTTTTCGGTGAGCTTGTCGTTTCGAGTGTGATTTTCCCACCAGAGAAAAAAAAAACGGGAAGTAAATTCTTTAATTTGTACGTGTTTTTTCTAGAGTAGGTATGTGTAATTAGATCAACTTCAATTCGAATACAGCATATCACCCTCAATTTGTTTGCGATTTATATATGCGAAACTTGCAAAATGCATTTCAATTTTGCAAAGAGACTGAACTGATCATGAAACGTTTAGCCATCCCATTATAACTCATTGCGCTGTTCAAAATGTATACAGATAATAAATATATATATATATAATAAATATGGTTCTTGGCATCAGGTTCGTTAATTTTTCTTTCAGACTCCGTGAAAGATGTTTCTTCAAATCTTTGAGGCTTCAAATGATACGAAGTAAGTGATTTAATGTTGCTGGTAAATTTTGTCATTTTCATGCGGTTCATAAAACAATGTCAAAAATGTTTCTCCACAAAAAAAAAAATACCACAACCATATATGGCGACTGCTGATTTAGAAATTGCAGGAAATGCAGGAAAGTTTGGGGTTTTTATTTTGTGTGATGTCTCCTTTGTTTCGAGAAAAAAGAACATTTGCAACTTGCAGCTCGATTGAGATATCGTTTGATTTAATGTTTGCTGTAAATTTCCCATTTGGAATAATTGATTCAATTATATGGAGAATGCAGGTAAATGGTTTCATTCATGAGATTCAACAGTTAAATTTATATAGGTGAATCATGGTAGTGGTGATGGTGGTGTTGGTGTTGGACTGATGTTGGAAACTGTTCTAGCCGATTCCATAATCGGTGCGAAATTTGTGAGTATTTGTGTGTGTGAATAAGAAAATATTCCAAACACTCTCACTCAATCCTACAAATATTATGACTTAAATCTTGCAAAATGCAAACAACGATATAACCACTCAACATATCTCCTTGCAAAAATGGATGCTGCAAATATGACTTCAACTAGACATTTTTCAAATGAACACACCCCACATTCGATTTTTTGTGTGGATTCGATATACATTGGACAAGATTGCGAGCAGAGTTTGACTTATCCGCCAGATATATGCTATGGCATAAAAAATATATGCGCATATTTTTTGGTACATTTGGATTTTGTGACCAACTTACCATGTAAATTCATGTGTGTTCCACGAATTTGGGACAAAAAATAGTGGAATGCACATGAATTTACATGGTAAGTTAGTCACAAAATCCAAATGTACCAAAAAATATGCGCATATTTTTTTTATGCCATAGCATATATCTGGCGGATAAGTCAAACTCTGATTGCGAGTTGCAGCGAAATGATTGATCGTTCTATAGTTGCTTCCCACTTTGGCATGACAATGGTTAAATTTGTAATAAATCGTTCTGCCGGCCTACTTGTCTTCTGTCATCGGGAAAACAAAAAAAAAGAAATAGTTTCAGTTTCAGTTACAGTATATTAGTCAACAAATAGACGTCGTCGTGGCATTAAATATGATCCTTTAATTGATTTTGTTGTTCATTTTGTTTTTGTTATATTATTTTTTTTTTCTTCTAAGTTAGTTTAAGCTAGTACTTTTCATGAATCCATTCGCCCCATTCAAATAAAATTGATTTGTGTTATCAAGTTAACTTGTATTTTTACATCCGATGTAAATCTAAAAGTTCACCATTTTACCATTTGTGTGTGTATGTGTAATTCATTCGTTAACTAATAATTTATTCTGTATTTGTTGTTTGTTTTGTTTTATTTTTTATAGCACATGATATTAGATTCAGAGTTAGGCTAATTGAGATAGTTCAAAAAACCAGTGAAAGAATCGCGAAGAGCGTCACACTCGTTCTAAACGGCAAACAAAAATTGTCCAACCACATAAAAGTGTGGTTGCTGATCGAAATCGATCGCCGATTGTTTGAACCATACCTTGTGACCAATCCATTCTTGCCAAGCAATTTTACTTAATCCACATCATTTGATAAATTATTATCAATCGCATCTTGGGTTCTTCGTCTCTTGTGAATGATTTATCCTCATATTATTTTTTGTATATATATTATAGCTTGAAGCTTTTATTTTATTTATTTTATTATTTATTATTGTGGACTACTTACTTATTCTACGCCAATATAAGTTTACAGGTTCGTTTATATAAATTATTTCCAAAAAATATCACCAATTGTTTTAGTGTTTTTACTTTTATTTTGCTTCATTTGCTTCTTAAGTGTGTACTGTGTATGTTTGTTTTCATCTCTCATATCTGTCTGGCACAGAAATGTGTCTTTGTGTTCTTTAGTAGTTAGTTATCTTGTGATGGTAATGAAATAGATTCGATAGACAGATAGAAATGCAGATATTATGCGTGTAGATAGAGATAGAGATAGAGGAAAAAAGTTTGTGTGGGTGTGTGTGTAAGTTGTGTGCAGGACAGGTTTTCTTTAGATGAGCATGAAAATGCGTAATGCAGAGGGAAAATTTGCATTTTTTATTAATTTAAAGTCAAATGAAATTTCGTAAAGCAAACTAAATAAAAAAATTTGCGTGAAAATGAGAACGATTCGATGCTCTCAATGCTGTGTTTACAGAAAAAGTAGTTAAGATCGTTTGCTCAGTGTGTGCGTGCCTTTTAAAGGTTGAAAATGTAGAAGAAAAAATAAAAGAAAATAAAGCGTGTTTCATTACATTGCTCCAATCTGATTGAGGTAATAATTACGACTCTTTGTCTGGTGGAGAATTTGGTTTGGCGTTTCGGAATAGCATTGACTGAGTGCTTGGAGAAACAAAGTGTGTGTGTGTATATATGTTTGAGTGAAAGAGAGAGTTCATCGAAAGAAGCGGTCGTATATGCATGCATCTTGTCGGGATTGCGTATGCACAAGTTACGTTCCAGCTTATCTGCTTCACAATAAACCGATATTGTTGACAATTTGTTCTCATCACAAGATAAGGTAATCTCTAAAGAGGTTTCGATTTTTTACACTTTAGTTATTTTGCATTTTTTTTTATCGATTTATTGTGTTTTCGTTCTTCGTCTACATCATTATACTCATCTATATTGATAAAACCACAGTCTGCGACATGTTGTGGTAAAAGGCCTGTTTCATTTTTCTTGTTAGTTTTTTTTTTGTTTGTTTGTTCAGTTTGTTATAATTTGCTTTTTTGGCAATAATAAAGTAATTTCGTTTCGCTTTTTCGATTTAAATATATGCCGTTAATAAATAATTATATTACATCTAAATCAGTTTTTGTGTCTGTGTATGCGTTGTTACTTCCACTTACTCCTCTTCATTCACATTAATCCAAGAGTTTTTTTTATGTTTTAACATTGCTTGTTCAGAACAGAAAAAGTTGCGTATTAATTTTTTTCCCTCCTTTTGGATTTCAACGAATTCGGAATTTATATTGCCATTTCATTGAATAAAAAAAAAAAAGAACAACATGTTTTTTTTTTCCGAAATCCAGACTACTTTTTACCTTGCCTTTTTTTATATTTTTGAACGGATAAATAATCTGTTTTTCTTTAAATATGGAATTCAACCATTTCAATGGAGTTGGAGAGAAACCGAGTGTAATGTTTTATTTGCGTTGTCTGGAGAGGAGAAGAAAAAATAGAAAAATCGATCACTGGATATTGCCGAATTATTTGTCTGTTCTCAAAAATAAAATCAAAACAAAACAATAAACAAAATAATTTGCTTCGATGAAAAAAAATTCACAACAATAAATAGTTTGCAATTTTAGCTGTCGTCTGTTCACTTTTCGTCTTAACACTGTACCGAATCACGTTTTATGTAATCGACATCAAACATTTGGATTTCCGTTAGATTTTGAATGCATAACAGAAATACACAATATTTTTCTTTCTTTTTTTGTTGTTGTTATATTTCCATAAATATACACACGTACGTTGTGTTTGCATGCGCTTTTCTCGCCATTTAGTTACATATTTGCAAGTTATTGATTAATATTATTATTAAATTATAGTTTTTCATTCGTTAAATCTATAATAAATTATTATTGTTCCTAATTTAGTTTTTTTTTTTTAAATTTTCATTACGAATATATCATACGTCTAGATAATTTTTTATCCTTTTTTCATTTATTTGATGATAACGATTAATGCTTTGTTTTTCTTTTTCTTCTTTTGAATTATTATCGCTTTAGTACTTGACATTAATTTATTTCTTTTCGTTATGTGCATTTACATTCGCCGTAAATTGTGTTGCTTTTGTGTGAAATGGTTGTTTTATTTTTATTTTCTTCTTCGGTATGTGTGTGTGACCGTCTGAAGCGATAAATCGATGAGCAAAATCCTGATTTATTTCAAAACACATTTTTTCTTCTTCAGATCAATTCAATTGAAACTAAAATATTCAATATGTAATCAAATCGCATTACCAATTGATTCATCGCATCGTGAAGCTCGTACACATCATTTCTGATTTGTCACAACAAATTGCGGTGCATTTCTGCATTACCATAACGCTTGTAATCGTATTATTTTCTTATTGCTATTTCTGGTTGATGTTTATGTTTCATCATTGTTTGTGAGTGTATGTTTGTGTACGTCAAATAAAATATTTATATCTTCATAACATTTCAATATATTGTTCGTTTGTATCTTGTTTTATTGTTTTCTTTTTAGCCTAATTATTCTATTTTTTATTTATTTCTTCAGTTAATTTAATTCACTTTTGTGTGTGTGTGTGTGTGTGTGTGTGTGTTTGTATGTGTCTCTCTGTATATATATATTATATACCTATATGTTCGATTTATTTTTGTCACTGTCTTCAATAAATATTTTGAATAATTTCTAATAGTTATAATAGTCGAATAAATATACTGCTCCTATTGTTGATCATTTCTTGCATATTCTTGTATTTTTTTTTTCACTTTATCGCTTGTTTGTCGCTTCACTTTCTTGACAATTACTCTCATCGCTAGGTCGTTATTTGATAAATGTACTTATTTAAATGTATTACTCGTTAAATTTTAAGTAGTATTCGGTTTGTGTATATGTGAATGTGTTTTTGTGTTTTTCTAGTGTCTGATTTTTTTTTTTTAATTTTCTGTACTCTTCGAGTATTGGCTTTCGCATCATGTTCTTTTTTAACAACATTTTTTCCGTCTTTTTTTTTCATCTTTTTTGTTGTTGTTATTTAATTTACAAGTCAAAATTATAAATATAGTAACAATATACTACGGTCTGTACATCCAGTACGACCGTTAGTTTGAAAATTTTGCGCGCGCATCCTCAATGCAATTGAGCGATTCTCACTTGACAAACAAACAAAAAGAAAAATTATAAACATGTGTACATTTCTTTCTTTTTTAATTCGATATACGATAACAAGAAACGATTGATCGTGACACAATCTGACAACAATACACATAGAGAAAATGTGATTTTTTGTGTTTGCTTGTTTAGTAATTTTTCAACTTTAGAAGGTACTGTATATACTATATAATCGGTTGTTTGCTTGCTCATTTGATTCTCCTGTTCGCATAGATCGGATAAACATTTCTCTGTTCTTTACAATTTTCTGTTTTTTTTTTTTCGTTTCACAGTTGAAATATCTTATTCATCTGGTTCCAGATTCTTTCATTTACTCGATAAATTACTTTTTGTTCTGTTCATTTCAACATTTTCAAATGTGTCAATAATGTGTATGTGTCTTATTGTGTGTGTGTTTGTGATTTTTTTACTCTAGATTTTTCTTATATTTTTTTTTTTCAATAACAACATGTAGATTTCTCGTAAGAATTATTAAGAATTAACGGATAACCAAAAATCTGTATTTTGGTAGCGCTTGCAAAAGGTTATCAAAAACAAAAAATCAGTCTGCAATTAGTACCAATCTCGGTTTTCTTTTCTTGTTGTTTTTTTTTTTTTGTATCATTTTTTTTTCTTCAATATATATAAATATATGTGTGTGTTTTTTTTTTTTTTGTTTGTTTAAATATTATCATTTTTGTATTGAAGATTATTCTAACAGGGGTAGATTCCTAGGCGATTCAAAGAGAGATAGAGAAGAAATGACAAACGAATTATTATCGATTGTGAAAAAGTGGAATATTTTCGCCGGACTATTTTCGTATATTCAAGGTATACATACCTTGATAGCTTGTTTGTGGCCATATTGCAGGTACATTCTGAAAAGCATACAGAAATCGTTAGAAATCAGTGTGATCTACGCCCGATTTTAAAACTGGAAAAATATTTGAATGGCGAAATGATGGTGCGAAGAGGAAGATGGTGATGCAGAAAAATACTTACCATTGGTACACTGTAATATTGATAATATGGTTGGTATGGTATGGTTTGAGGATATATTGCTGGCACAGCAGAAGGTGGATAGACCCCAGCCGCAGCAGCTGAGAACTGATCGATCGGAATATTGTTCAGTTGAGCTGGTTGAGTCGGTGCATAATATACGGCACCATTTGTCGCAACTACTGCCTGATTATTGCCATATAGCAAAACATTTATTTAGGATTTTTTTTTTTTTGTTGTTGTTTTTGAAAATTAGGAAGAAAACAATTAGAAGAAAAACTTGATTAATTTACCTGTTTCTTAATCGCTGGTGCAATATTCAATTTTCTGTCCCTTAGCACGACACATTCACCCTGTAAATTACAACGCAAGATTGTTGTACAATTGTAAACCAAATTGCATTTGAACATGTTAAACATTAAGTGACGATACTTACATCTGCCTGTAGCCGTTGTGCTTCTTGCTCTGTTTCAAATGTTACGAAACCATATCCTTTACTAACGCCAGCTCGATCGACAATGATTTTTGTTGATTTGACATTTCCATACGATGAAAAAACTCTACAGAGCTCAGCTTCTGTTGTGTCACCACTGATGATGATTAAAAAAAAAAAGGTAAACCCAAAGTGATGCGTTATAATTTATTGTTGCAAATTAATATTATACACACGCATACACGCACGCACAATTATCTATTTTGCTCACCTGATTCCACCAACGAAAATTCGATTCGGGATTAGTGTTCCATATTTTGGTGCGGCCAATTGTGCATCTAATTGTCCATTTGAAGTGTTTGTAACTGCCATTGTTTGCATTTGTATCTGTGTTTATTTCCCTTCGAATTCGAGTATTTGTTGCTTCTTTTTCTTTTCTTTTTTTTTTGTTGTTGCTGTTATTGTTGTTGTTCTTGCCTTTAATTTTTTTTTTAAATTATTCGTTACAAAAAATACTTATTCTTATGGTTCGTCGTAAAATTTTGTTTGTTTGTTGTTTTTAGTTTAACTTTTAATAGCTATGTTTCGTTTTTTGATTTTTATCACGCTTTTTGGCACTTTCTTGTTTGCTTCTGTTTGAAAAAAAGAGATACGAGAACAAAAAAAAAAAAAAAACACTTGTATTAATTGCTTTGATTTTATTTGCAAATTTAAGAAAATCATTTTTTGTTCCCTTTGCATAATTTCATTCATTCTGTAAACACACAAATATTAGACAAACTTGAACATATAATGGGAAATTTTGCCATCGTCAATCACAAGGAATATCAAAAGTGAAAACACTGCTTTCCAATCGATGGAATCATGCAAATATTAAAACAATTTATCGATCAGAATGAGGCGAAGAGAACAAATGAATAATTTATTTGGCAATTGCACAAATGTGTCGACTGAGACAGGACCAATTAGCGTGATCAAATGGTTTTTTTTTCCTCTCATTTCAGTTATCAGTTCGATTTCAATTGAGATCAAATTGCAATCGACAAATGAAACTGCAACTATTTTTCGTTTTTTGTATACATATTTAGGTTTTAATAGCGGCATTCCAAGAAACAAGCGGAATAAGAAAAGGCCACAAATGGTTTGTTCATAATGTTTCCACTAAAATTTGGTTGCGTTCGCACAAGTGTTGTGTTATGTTGCATTCATTTGTGTGAATTGTTCTTTTCGGTTTCAATACCATTAGCTTGAATTTCTATGCACATTTAACAGCCACTGAGTCTCTATTCGACACTTATCGAATCATTTTGAGACCTATATAAATAAATTTTTGACGATTTGACGTTATAATTTTCCGTCGCTTCCACGGTATTTCACGCAAATTAGCCGTTTTTGCATGGCACATTTGTATCAAAAAGTATAACACACTTATTCATGGCATATTTGACTTTTTCTTTTCTTTTTTGTGCATCTTAAATTTTTTATTCAATGTGTACTTTTTTCACGCACATCGTACAGAAACAACAACAACAATAATAACACACTATTAACAACTACTACAGACGAAACAAAAAAAAAAACTCGCTTCGGAGAGCGAAATATCAACAGCGTTAAATTCACAGTGAAAAACGGTATATTAGAATGGAATATAGGTTAAAAGATAAATAAATGTACGATCTCTTGTTTTATACTTTCTCAACGTTGATAAATTTCTTTAGTGTGTCAGTACACCAACCAACTGAATACCAACACAGTGGCGATATTGCACGGACACACATATTTCTCAGTCGTTCGTTTGTTCCCTCTTTCTTTCTTGGTCGCATAAGCATTTAAATCAAAATCGCTCGATTCGCATACACGATTCACACTAACTCGCAACGGCATCGTATTACAAATGGCCTAGTAGCCATACACTCACTGCAATACAAACATACTCATGCAAACAGAGGCACTCACACAATCACATACATATACAGTCATATACACATGCACACCCGTCTGACATTCAGCAATAATTTTTTTTTTCCTTTTCGTATTCTGCACAATGACACTCGCAGCACTGCTTTTTTCCTTCTTTAATGCAAAAATATATAAACACTTTATGTGCACATATGTAAAACGGACCCATACATGCGAACACTTGCACAGAAGAAAACATATCTGCTCTTTGGAAAATATACATATATATTCGAAAGAGAAAAAAAAAATTCAACTAAGTTAACGAATGATGGTCGAAATAAATGAAAAATAAATTCACAAAATCACATTAGAAACGATTCGAAGCTGAGAACTGGCTTATAACTGTGCGAATATTGACAAAAATCAATAGTAGGCAGCTTTCACTTTTCTCTCCGAAAATATTCTGATTTCTTTTTTTTTTTTTTTTTGCTTTTATGAAAATTAACAACAAAAATATAACGTAGGGAAAAAGGGAGAGAGAGAGGGAGACACAGAGACGTAAACGTTTTGTTGTTGTAAGACCAAATTGAAAATAAGACAGAATAAAAGCGCAGTAAATGAAAACACGAAAAAAAAAAAAATCGAGCACTTGGGCAATAAAAGTGTATCGCTAAACAAAAATGTCATCCCACACTCAAACTGAAATCGCTGTACTTGATTTTACTATTTTAAGAATCCATTCTATTTGGCAGTTTCTGATAGTTACGTTTTGTTTTAAAAATCACTTTAATTTCTTTTTAAAATAAATATTTCTATGAATTTTTATGCTGCAACTTCGTGCGTTCTTCGTCGTCGTTTGAATGCTCTGTTGTTTTTTCAGTGTATAATTAAAATTTCAGTTCTATTCTCTTTTACTTTTAATAATCTGCTCTCTTCTTTTTTTTTTTTATGTATGTCTTGCGAATGCGAATAAATTTTGGTTCTTTCGCTACAGCAGCAGTACATCACTAGTTCGCTCTCGAAAATATATCCGTGCACACTGAGGTGAATGTGGTGTGCTCGCTTTCAGTGTGAGCGTACATCACATGTGTATGATTCGTTGTGTGCGAGCGTGTGCGAGTTTGAACTAGTGAGTTTCGATTCGTTCGAATTTATTGAAAGCACAGACAACTTACGGAATGTGAATGAATGCGAATTTTAGCGACGCCGATGCCGCCGCGAATATCGGTTACTGTTTGAACGATATGATATTTTTTTTTTTTGATTTTTCCGCCATTTTGTGTGTATTTTGGAAAAAAAAAATTCACTCAGCTGTTATTACCTATAAGAATGTTGCATTTCTGTTTATTTCGATGAACTTCCAATTTATTTGTCATAAAAAATCCAACCAACCAATTTTGTCAATGATAAGCGTTACGATTGACATGCTATTGTAAGTTAAAGGCAAAATCACCATTTTTGAGCTTAAACAAATTTCTTTTTGGAATCAAGTAATAACACCTGAATTATCAGTGTAATTGGAGTGCAAGAAGCGGTACAAGAAATTTATATATGTATAATGTGTGTGAACATGCGAAGAAAAAAAAAACATAAGTTTCTATGAAAATCCATTATCTCCGGCTATTTCTGGCTCCTCTCACTGTCGTCTTACTGGTAGTTGATGTTTTGTTATGTTCGCTTGTTGCCGCTGCTCCAGTACGATTTGATCCAGTTGTTTTGGCCAAAGACGCTGTGGAAGCGGCATTTGATGAAGTTCCTGATGCAGTTGTTGCGGCTGCACTTGACGATATCGTCGTTGTTGTCGGTATAGTTGTGGTCACAGAATTCCCATTGTTATTATTATTTGATGTCACGGTGCCGTTATTGATCAGCACTGATGATGATGCGGTTTGATTTTTCTGTGCTAATGGAACCGGGGCGGCCAAATTCGGATTTGGTTCACTCATATTCAGATGTTCATTGAAATTCATACAGAATTCGCCAATTTTATGGATATCACCGTTTTTGCCTGAGTACAATGTGAGACAATGTCGCCAAATTGCTGCATATCCTTTTGTTAATCTTACTATATCGCCAGGTACTAATAAGTTTCCAGGCTCATCCCACACCGATACATTGATACATGCGGTGGGATCGCCCGCTTTAAATGTTCTCACTACTCGATTCTCTTTTGTAACGGTGGCGTTGCCCACTTCTAAAATGATAAACACCACATTGATATTCTTCAAATTGGGCCGGATTTCTTTGATCGGTATACAGTCACTATAAATATTTTGTCTGCAAAATAAAATCAGACATGATGATGAGATCATTTGGATGAAGAACAAAGGATACATTTGATGTGATGAAAACAATAATGTGATCGCTACTTACGCAAACATTGCCATTATTCTCTCTTTCTGTACAACAATTAGGCCGTTTGAGTTCAGTGTGTTGAAATGTGATGCTAAGAATCAAATTAATCAGATGCAGAATGTTTACACAATGCGTTTAGTTCATCTCTTCTGTGAATTCAGTCGAAATATTTGCTGCTTTGATGAGTGTAAAACTCGCCTTCTTTCGTTGTATTTCATTAGCTATTGACGCTAATTCATATTTTACACAGTATGAATAACATCAACTCATCTGAATGAAGGAGCCGTCGTATTGACGTTTCACGTTGACGTTTGTCGAGGTTAATTTGAAGTAGTGTTGCCCGTTGCGAAGTTCTATGCTCGCTTTTTGTATATTACGAACGTTATTCAAACCTCTTGCGGAAGTGTTTTAAACACTAGGATGACTTCATTCAATATGACCGAAAAGAATTTCAAAAAAATTCGTGCAATTTGTTATACAACAACAATAAATTATAAAACAATCACTTTGTTTTGAGATGAACAAAAAATGAGTTACAATCAATGTCAATTTGCGAGAAAAAAAAGAGATAATTCAATTTCCCATTGATAGCTTTCAACAATTTAAAACCATAAATTTTATTGTCTTTATCTGTTCCTGCGGTTGAGACACAGAACCTAAAATAACAATCACAATATTGTTTTACAAGTCATGAGTTATACCAATGAAATTAACCCTAACTGATGCTCCCAATCACTTGGCATTGAGGCGTTAAACAATTTCAATTTTCATTGAGAATGTAAATGGGGGTGATATATGTCGGCTATAAGCGTAACATTCATTCTATTTTGAGGACTGCCAATCATTTTATTTTATGGTAAAGTTTATGTTAATGGAAGATTTTGATAAAAATCAAAACAAATCTCACACAAAACTTAACAACTTAAATTCGAAATTATTAAATGTTGCGAAAGCTATAGCATGCAGCCTTCGAGCGAGTATTTAAAAAAAAATTAAATGATAATAAAGCCATCACAAAATGGTACAATGTTCTTCTCATTTAATTGAATCGCAAATGTATTTATAGATTGCACCATTAATGTGTGACACAATTTACTTAATATCTGGGGTCCAGTGATTCCATGTTTTCATTATTTCGTATAATGCTTGACCAGGACTTTCGGTTGCTTTCAATTGTCGATGACCATAAAGATTGTAATTTTCATCGAGTTTTTTCAATGAAACTCCTTCTTCAATCAATTTTTGTGCGGCTTTCAATTGGAGGTCTGGTGGTGGGTTTTCCAGAAAATTCCCAATGAATGCGATACAAATGCTTTTCTCGTTAAAGCCATTAGTGTGTCTGCCTTGAATATTAAAACCCCGACCAATATATACATTACCATTGCCGTCGATCAAGAAATTATACGAAATATCGTCCATTCGTAGTGTTTCAACGTGATACGCTTGAATACTTCGAACAATAAACTTGCAGCTTGCCTGAGAAAAAATGTTCGAAATTATTTTGTTTTCTTCTTCACATCTCTGTATCATGCAATGGATGCGACTTACTTGTGTTGAACAATTTTGCGTGGCTTAGCAAAATGGAAACAATAAAGAACAATTTAAAGTGTATAGGTAATAGAGTAGTATATCTAAATTAAAGCAATGTACCTGTGTGTGCGATGATAACGCGCGTACTTGGAAGTTCAAGCAGAATTGGATTCTCTTCTGGTGGCTGAGCAACCCAATCATTCCTTGACACAAATTTCAACTGTCCCGTTGTATCGAACGTGACATCTGATTCTGAAACTGAGATATTTTCTTCATTCAACACATTCATCGTCACTCTTCTACATTCAAATGTCAATTGAACTGGGCACTTTATTCTAAACACGAGTTTTCACTTCATTCGAATCCAAGCCTAAATATGTGGCTACTCACGATGATCAGAGAGATCATTGTTTGCATGCCAATGGCTGCGCATGTAGATGGCTGATGTTAGGAGCGAGCCAAACAATGCACCCGAAAGGGTAGACGCCACAATCACCATCGCCCATATCCATTTGGGTTGGAGTTGATTGAGATTCTGGCCTGTAGAATCTGATTATTACAAAAAACAAACAAACATTTATTTAAACCACCACTATTTCTAATTGAAATTATCTATACAAAAAATAAAGCAGTTTGGAATGAAACTAGAAAATCAAATCTGTCAAATGTATTATATACTTAGCATAATTCTATCTTCGCTTGCCTTTCTGTTGATCATTTGCGGTGCAGTCATTTCTCTTTCGCGTTGAACACGCAATTGTTTCAACTTACGAGCATCGATTTTATTTAAGCTATAAATTCATTGTGCATGGGGATCTACCGGTCTCTTATCTTCGCTGGCACCACAATATAGCATTATAATAGCCTTATCTATGGTCGCTGAAACAGCAACAATGAAAAATAAAACGATAGGCACAAGTTTACATGAACTTCATTACATTGTTTTCATTTCGTTTTCGAATATTTTGCACATACGAAGCAAATGAATGTCTTTGTAATTGAGATGTTCTATTAGTTATATAAATCATTTCAAAAAAAAAAAAAAAAACAGTAACAGCAAATATTACTTCCTGACTTTTGCTGCATCGCAAACTGCACCCGAAACAAGAGGTGACTTGAATGATTATCGCTGCTTTCAAATACACCACCTCTTCCTTGTTTATATTGTAGTCATAATGTATCACGCACTCTTTACTATGTATAATCTATGGCTGTGCACAAAAACTTTTCTGCAATCGTTTTCCAATCCAATATTATTCATAAACAAAGTAATTAGTAATATTATGGGATCATGTATGTATCTGTTTATTGTGTTTGTGTTCTTGATACAATTTATTTTCAGACATTTTAATTTCTATTGGCTATTATTTGGGATGCGTTATAAAATATACGCGGATATTCAAGCACTTTGTCATTCGAATAGCCAAGAAAGCAGTATGAATGTTAAATTACATCACTCCTCATCAGCGCCTGTCCGAGCCCTCACGGCGCTCCGGTGCAAGTTTTATTCATGCGCCCCTGAAATTTCATGACTCAATTTTCTTTGACAATGATTAATTTAAATTTTAAATCGTATCTTTTTGTAGCGAAAACAGTATTTATTCATGAATGTTTTACATTCGATTTGTAAATAATTTTTATTGCGTGATATAACATTTAATGTTCATTATTAAATATTGCGAATTTTCGTAACTGATCAGTAAAAGGAAACTTTCCGGGCTTTGGAAGCGGCAAATTCGTCGATGATATCCTCATATTGAATTGAATCAGCAATTTCATGCTCAATTGATATTGTAGCTAAGCCATTTAAACGGTCTTGTGACATCGAATTGCGCAGGTAGTTTTTAGTTATTTTCAGCTTAGAAAAAGTCCTCTCAGCGGTTGCAACTGACACAGGACTTGTCAAAAATATCCTGTAAGCAATAACGGCGTTGGGGACAAGATTTTCCATACCGCTGCTCTTGATCCCGTTGAGTATATCGATGACTCTAACCAAATGACGATGCTTTACCAATTCCGCCACAACCGTCATCTCTGAAATCAATTCGTCAACATCAATATCACATTCTTCTCCCTTTGAAAGCGTTACTTGAAGCTGTTTGCACGACTTGAGCAAATTTTCATTTCTTCTATTTTGATCAAAATCGTCAAATTTGTAGAGAAAGGAGAATGTTGAATTGTGCTTCTCTAATGCAACGAATCGCTCCTCTACTGCATTGATTGCTACGTTCAAGACAACATCAATGAAATCATTTTGGAAGCTTTCTTCCGAATTTATTTCACGTCCAACAGCAACACGCTTGCGACTGTTTGTATAAACGACCTCGATTTCCATACTCTCACAGATTTCTGTTGCTTCACTAAAAACTTTTTCAGGTCCAGTTGATCTGTATTCTTCCAAAAAAAAATTTAGTACTACCCAAACAAAGTACAGCGGCTTGCAAATCCGAATCAATTGATTGCAGGGCTTTCGAAGCAATGTTAACGTGACTTAAAACATCGTACCACATACATACTGCACACACAAACGGATAATTAATTTTGTCGATAATTGCTCCAGCTTCATAACGAACTTTATCCTTGAAAGCGGTTGAATTCTTAATTTCATCCAATGCAGCGATTATTTTGCCAAGATTCAGCCGAAGTGGTTTCATTGCAGCGATTCGACTGGACCATCGAGTTGTACAAAGGTTTTTCGGAGCTAACGTGGAAGCTGTCGTGATATGGCTTTTCATAATATCCCACCAATTCGAAGAACCTGAAAGAAATTTATAAATCTCTTCGACCAAAGAAAAAAAAAACTAACGGTTGCCCCCGATGCAGCAGCAGCTTCATTCACAACAAGATTTAGTGAGTGGTTTGAACATGGTACAAAAAATGCTCTTGGGTATTTTTCCAGAATTAGGTTCTGCACGCCGATGTTTTTCCCTTTCATGTTCGCGCCATTATCATAGCCTTGACCTCTCAAGTTTTCGGGATCTAATCCAAGTGATTCCAATTCATTGATTGCCATTTCTTTGATCCCAAGTCCAGTTTTTTCGTGCATTTCCAAGAATTCAATGAAACTCTCTCTAACTTCATAACGCTGAGTCGCTTGTTTCTCAAACACATACCGTAAAACGACTGTCATTTGTTCAACATGGGTGATGTCAGTTGTGCTGTCCAAAATGAGCGAAAAATATCTACTTTTCTTAACACAATCCAAAATATGCGTCTTCACCTTTGCACCAATAATTGCGATAAGTTCGTTTTGAATCTTTGGAGAGAGGTAATGATTTTTTTCACGCTCAATATGCTCTCGAAGGACAGGATCGAATGTAGCAAAATAGCCCGACAGAAAAAAACAGAAATCAATAACTCAAAATAACAAAATTAGTCGACAAGAACATTTTGCGTGCAAGATCACAAGCGTACTAATATAAAGGATACATTTGAACAAGTTAGCCGTGTACTGAAGCTGTGGAGACAGTGTTTTTTTTATTACAATTCACCGTTAGATCCGTTTGTAAACAATACACACACAGCGCACAGTGTACGTTGTACGCTCTTGTTCGTAACATCCGAATACACGACATCTCTTGTTGTCCATTCTATTCGATTTTCGTAAACAATAAATTTATGTTTTCATCTCTTTCTTTTGTCATTGCAATTACAATGTGAAAAAAGGTGTCCACCGTTTGTGTTTTGGTGCGCTTCTCTTGGACTGATATTCAAATTTTGCTTATATTTCTAGCGCCTTTTTCAAATTTCAAAATGTAAACAGTACAATATCGGCGCTCATTCAAATGATTGACAAGTATATTTAAACACTTTTAGCGCTCTTTAAAACTCATCTTGCGGTTTTTTAAATGTAATCGTCAGTAAAAATTGGTTGTTATGTGTTTAAATACATAGAAATAGAACACTCGCGCGCCTTCGGCGCGCTCGCATTTATTAAATTTGAGAATTTTTATTCTCGCGCGCCTTTGACGCGCTCGCGCCTCGGTGCATTGCACCGGCTGCACCGGCGGTTGGACAGGCGCTGCTCCTCATTAAAATTTATCATTTCTATAATTGATAGAAAATCACTTTTAAATAAATTGATTAATTTTTTTATAGAAAATATAACGTAAACATTAAACGTAGTTTTTAAAGTCAAGAACATTCTTGTGATAGCTTCTCAAAATGTATTTATTATTTCTAATCAGATGAAAAACCTCTAGACGAGGTTAAAATGGAGTGACGCTCCTGTGCGTGGATTTACCACTCAAAAAGAATGATATCATTTTGAGTGACGCTTAGACGCTGTATTTCGAGCGTCACTCCATTTTAACCTCGTCTATAGGTTTTTCATCTGATATCACCACTTTTGTAAGGCTTTTTTTTTTGGAAAAATACATTTTTGACAGAAGTATGTCTATTTTAAGGTCTTATTATCAGGAAATTGCGTTGTGTCATTTTTATTAAAAAATAGCAGTTTTCGAAGACCAAAAGTTCGTTAGAGGTGTATTTCACGAGTTTTCCGAACAAAAATATCATTTTCAGTGAAAAAAGAGCAAGTTGAAAAATTCACTTCAATCCGACCTATTTTTCGACCATGAAATGGCCTCAGATCGCATTGTGACCACTTTTAATCGATTGATCGTCAAAAATTGAGCGGATATGCTTTTTGTAAGCCTTTTCCAGCCAGTAGATGCGTATTTTTGGCTACATTTTCTTCGTAGAATGCGACTCTTCGTACAAATTCCGTTCATTGATGAATCGCCGATGTCCAGAACTTCGAAATACGAATTTTCCCGGATATATGGCATATGTCACTTTGTTGGTATGGTGGCCGGCTACAAACGCTCAGTTTTTGGTGAAAGGTTGTTGGACTGATTTTTGAGAAATCGCCTTTGGCGTGAAATTTAAGGGGGTCGATTTTTCATGAAAATCGACTTTTTTCTTTTATATCACATAAACATTGGCATGTGTGTATGGAACTTTTTGAAGGTCTTCTCAAATAGTTACGAGCTGACTTCGCTTGATGGGTGTCTGAAGTGATCTAGTTTGCGAAATAAATACTTGAAAAAATCGTATACATGGAGGCTAGCGAAGCCATAGCCAGCTCTCCTGTATTGCAAATGTCAAACTGAGTGCGGGTTCCGATGCACTCCGTTATCAACTACAACTTGAGCATATGGGTACCAGAATCCGTGGGGGTCAAAAAAGTGTTCGGACATACGGACGCACATCAAATCGATTATTTCATAGAAAACCATGGTCAAACTGCCAATGCCCATGACTTTTTCGTTTACAAATGAATCGGGGCGCTTAGACCGACGTTGGAAAGATGGCGAAGAGGAGCTTTTCTTGGATACCTCAGACCACCACCTGAGTAACCTCTTCGTGGGTTATGGGTATAGATTTGAAAATTTATCGAAATTTTGCAACCACTATATTTTCGACTAGACCACACTCTAGGCATGATGTATATGGTGTTTTCGACTATTTGGGTCAAAACCTTTCTAACGGTACCTAACATGCAGGGGCTTAAATGGTGTTCTGAGAAAATAGCATACCCACTATATATATAGTCGTGATTTTAAAAACTGTAATGAGCGATTCGGGCTTTGGAATGTGCTCCATAACATACCAGCCTATACTAACATCGCAGTAACTATCACCTGTAGAAAATTGTATGAAATGTCGTAACTGCATGTAATTGGTTTGAACCACAGTATTTTTTATTTATGATCTCCTCTTAGGAAAGTTGATTTGTACGGCACTGAGAGAAAGAATTGTATATACGAGACGAGTAGACAATAGCAACCAAAGAAATGTGAGAAACAGAGATTTAGTTAGAATTGAAACTTATGGCACGGACTATGCTCGTAATCAGTCATTTATTCTAGCGTGTAGGAATTGTACCAAAGTAATACAATCGTTTTTAGATTCGGCATCAAGACAAATATTTAGTCGAAGTGTATTCAATTTAGACAATCGTGTGAGCGGTGAACACAATCGGTTGCAGCAGAGTGCCATTTCGAAGTCAATAGGGATATTCGATCGGGGAGTATTTCCTTGCTGGTGTAAAGTTGTAATTTGTAAATGAATTGTATTTTATTATTCAGTCTGTGATTAGGAGGTGAAATAAACAATCTACATTTACATATTTACAAACATAAAGAGTAGACGTCACAATCACCATCAATAATATCAACTGGTCACACTAGCACCACATAATGTGGTGCAAATCGTTTTCAATACCCAAATTTGTATCGAAGTTGTGATTTATTTGACACATTATTATAATTGCCCATGGGCGATATTGTGAGAGATTTGCCCATGGGAAATTTTGATTATATTCGCCTATGGATATTTATGACAAAAGTTTGATGACAAAAAACACATACCCATATAAATTGGGCACTACTACCATACGAAATTTCCGCCTAAATATAGATGTCAATGTTTTACTGTGTAGAGCTGAGTTAAACCCTAGCTGGGTTGATGATAATGTTTTTTTTTTCTTATAGAATATGGAATTACTAATTGCTTGTCCAAGAAATTATCACACATAATAAGATTATCGTTCTAAAAGAAGTAATTGGAATGGAAACAGTTAATGGGTTGATATGAGAATGATTTTCTCTGAGTGTTCGATTAAAATGTATTCAAGAAATACTGATACTAGCAATTAATGAAGCGGATTAAAAATATGCGCGTGCAGATGCACATAAACCCAAAGCAATACAACTGAATAGAGTTCGAAGCATTGTAGGCATGAGAACAACTACAACAACAAGTTCATTTGATTAGACTTTGCGTCAATTTTATTGTATGTTACAAAAATGGGTTACATTTAGACAAAAAAAAAATTCAACATTCTGTTGAAATTGAAACATTACGAATCTTTGGATGGAGATTCTTATCTTCGACATTAATGTTCGACTTGTTCTGTCCAATGATCCCATGTTTTGATGATATCATACAGAGCTGTCCCTGGGGCTCTGTGTGCCTGAAACCAATTGACGATGACCATACAAACCATAATCATTACTCAGTAATCGCTTTTGAAAACCATCCGCGATCAAATTTTTAGCAGCACATAATTGACGTTTGGGAGGTTCAGTTGATTCAAATGAACCAATGAATGCAATGCAAATACTTTTGTTATTATGCCCTGTGGTATGTGCACCTTCAGAATAAATTCAAACACTCTTAGTTATTTATTTATTTTCCTTTGCGATCCGTAATAATAATCTCAGAGATTTCATTGCTTATTATTATTACTGTCTTACAACTCACCTTGAATGTCCCATCCTCTGCCCACATACACAAAACTATCGCCACCCACCTAGAATTGAATAAAAAAATAGGAAATAATGTGTTACAGAATATAAAATAAATACAAATGCATTTGAGTGCAAAGCATGAACATTTACAAGGAAATTGTATCCAATGTCATCCCATCTACGTGACTCTATGTGGAAAGTTTGAATCAGTCTGACTCGAAACGTGCATGATGCCTGAAAGATGAAAGAATAAAAGCACATTTGAGTACATAAATTTCATCGATTTCGAAATTGAAACAAGAAGAAAAGAAAAAAAGAACTACCTGACTCGTACAATTCGCCGTGGCTGGACAGCATTTCAAAAATAAAAATGAAATTATTGAAAAATGTAGAAGACAACAATTTATTGGGTGTTGGATGGTATTTTGAATTAACTCTCTATCATACCTGTGTGTGCTATGATGACCCGAGTCGCAGGAATTTCTAACTTAACTAGCTCATTGCTTGGTGGTTGGGCATTTCAATCACTTCTGGACACAATGGGAGCATTGTTGCATTCAAAGTCAATATCATTCTTTGTACTATTTGAACTTTCACCTACAGCCATGTCAATATTTCGTGTCAATAACGCTTGTGTTACATACATGCCGAACAAAACTCCAGTAATTGTCCAAATCGAAACAAGAACCACAACTGTGAACAGCCATTTTCGTTCCAGTTGCCTAAAACGAGACGCACAAACGGACTCTGAAACTAAATAAGCGAAATAAAGGTGAATTAATTATTACATTTTGTTTGACTAGTAATCGTAGAACTGGGAATGGGACATACTTTTGAGAACGATTTCATTTCCCCCAAATTTTTCGTTAGTTGTTTTCACCGAGTCAATCATTTCTTTCAGTCTGACGTTTCCAGCGTTATTGTTTGCGAAACGATTTTAGCATTTTCATTTAAATAAATCGTTGGGCATCTATACGCATCTATAGGGGGGGGGGATTACCGACTGATTATGAAAAGAATGATTGTGATAAAAAAGCTTATCAAGCCATTGAAAGCGATTGGAACTATATTGACGCTTGAACGTTTTAGCAATCATAGCTGCTTAAGTAGGGCAGTGACGGAGTATTTTACCCTCTCCATCAAAAATTACCATTGCCCTTTCATAAATATAACCATTTCTTTTAAAAATGCTTCCAGAAAATTGGAAATTGGTCAATACAAACGTGCTGATTATTCAATCAGAGTATTACGAAAAAGAAAGCGAAATGCTCTTTTTCATATTTTGAAATTTGTTCGTTGTGATGATTCATTGTGCTTTATTTTAATTTCGCGATTGATAAGATTATTTAAGAAAAAGATCCCCTCTTATGACTGACGACTGATGGTTCATTTTGCCCTTTGGCGCGTGTCGAACTGATACGTAGTAAAAAAAAAACACACCTTGAATTAGTGGCCACTTGAGACGGACACATTGAAAGTATTTTCATATAAACGGCAAATAAACTATATCGGAAGAACTTACGAAAACAAAAAATAATAGCAAAACAATAAATTAGTTGTTTAGTTTTATTGCTAAATGTAGAATTGTCTCTATTTGAACAATCTCGCTACTTATAATTTTACAATAGCCATTTAAAATAAACCAAATTCATTTATATGAATCTGACCAATACAATTTTTAACTGCTAAATATTGCAGAGCCATGCAACTAATTTTAAAGCACACTAGAATTGCAGTCTATTTACACATTACCCACAACACATTCGGAATTGCTACGAAACTGTATCTATCGATTATTTATGGCCCGATTCTGCAATATCAATTAAAACATGTCAGTAAAAAGTATTTATTCAGACACTGTCATTTGAATCTTTTTACATCACCGTAAAGCGCTCCATTTTATTTCGATTCACTTTTATTTTTTCTTGAAATACGAATGTATTCGCTTTAACCTGATAACAACGGTCAAAAGAGGAATAGTAAATCGAAAGTTAAATAAAAGTTGCAACAAAATAAGGCATTAGTATGAAAAAATAAAAAGAATCGGCTTATTTGGTCACCTCTATATCTTTTATGACTAAATAATCCATTTATGAATGTAATGGATGTACAAAACGCTGAAAATGATATTCCAATCACTAATTCAGTTCCATTTTAATAATTGAATATACATTTTATAATTGAAATGACAATTCAATTTTATAAAATGCAGTCGTTTTATTTGTATACAATATCAAATAGATCTCTTAAACAAGATGAGAGCGTAATAGTACAAAAAAAAAAAACCCGGGGAAAACAATTCTCTAAATACGAAGTAAAATCTTTTTTTTTTCAATTGATTTTTTTTTATGAATTTATGCAACATTTTTGCAATGCATAAATTGGTTTTCAACTTGAATGGCGAATATAAAATATCAATGAGTGGTATTCCTTTATGTATTATACATACATAAGAAGTGCAAGTATACTTATTTTAAATATTATATAACATCTATACGTCACATATCACTTGATTTCTTCACTAAAATGATCCCATGTTTTGATAATTTCATATAACGCTAGACCAGGACTCTCCGATGGAATCAATTGGCGATGACCATATAGCCTGTAGTCGGGGATTAGTTTTTTCAGCTTTACACCCTCTTCGATCAATTTCTGTGCGGCATATAGTTGTCGTTTTGGCGGTGCAATTTTATTGAAAGTTCCAATAAATGCAATGCAAATGCTATGTATATTGTAACCTTTGGTATGTGCACCTTCAGAATAAATTCAAACACTCGTAGTTATTTATTTATTTTCCTTTGCGATTCGTAATAAGGATCTCAGAGATTTCATTGCTTATTATTATTACTGTCTTACAACTCACCTTGAATGTCCCATCCTCTGCCCACATACACAGAACCATCGCCACCTACCTAGAATTGAATAAAAAAATAGAAAATAATGTGTTACAGAATATAACGAACATTCCACACGAAATCGACCAAGAATTGAATCGACCCTCTCCGAATTGACTGAAAATTTTCTTGGAGTCTTGTTTTCGGTAGAAAATGAGAAAATTAAAATCTTAGGCCTGTAAGTGGCCTACATTTTTGAGTTCACCCAGTGTAAATTTTTCGAAAAATTGAAAAAATCGAAAAAAAGGGTTTGCGTCAACTGAAAACTAACTAAGATGTAGTTGACACATTACCAAACCATTCGTACCGTTGGAAAGATAATTGATGGGGCCACAAAAATTACGAAGTCACCTACCCACTTTGACCCTATTGGGGCCTCCAAAAATGGAGTCAAAGTACTAAAAGTGAAATATCTCAAAAGAATGGGGTTTTTTTTGGCATGTTTTTTGCGTTTTTTTTGCGCTTATGTCGCGCCGCTTCAGATTGAAAAATAAAATTTCGTGTATAACCCCCATTCAGTTCGTGTATTTGGCCTCGGCAAGTGAATCATATATCATTTTTCACCGTTTTTATGGGGAAAATGGTCGAAAATGGCTTCTTATGACATTTTGATCTGAGAAAACTGCTATTTTTTCGTCAAAATACATGAAAATATGAACATTTGAATATCGGTTTACCTATAAATTTGGTCTGAAACTGACATTTCTTCATAAAACAAGCGAATGGTCAAAATCCGCATACAAAATCACACTTATGGCATAGAAAACTCACCTATGGTGGCCTGGTATGAGTCTATTTCCATGTAATTTTGAACGAGGAATCGATTTAGACTTATCTCAATCCCGTTTGATGAGCCTAAAATGCCGTAAAATGGCCCTGTTCCAGCCTATGTTTTCAACTCGCCATATTTTATGCAGAAAATCACTTTTTCTACTTCAAAAATGCCTTATTCTGCGTTCCAACATAAAAGACTTTTATTTTTTGAAGAAATAAACCAAAATACACAAACTTTTCGAACATTTTGGCCTCAATTTAGCGTTTTGTATAGATATTGGTCCAAAAAACGGTCATTTTGTAGGGGAGGTACCTAAAATATGCATAATTTGATACTTTTATGTTGAAAAACTGCCATTATTTTTGAAAAATAATGGGGGTCTGTGAACAATAATATATCCATTTGCTTATACTTTGGTCGCAAATCGACTTTTTTATTGGAAAATTCGCTCAAAATGAAGATTTTACACATAAAACTCTAAATTGAGTAGAGAAGTTGGTATATTTTGGTTTATTTCTTCAAAAAATAAAAGCTATTTATGTTGGAACGCAGAATAAGGCATTTTTGATGTAGAAAAAGTGATTTTCTGCATAAAATATGGCGAGTTGAAAACAAAGGCTGGAACAGGGCCATTTTTCGGCATTTTAGGCTCATCAAACGGGATTGAGATAAGTCTAAATCGATTCCTCGTTAAAATTTCGTGGAAATAGACTCATACCAGGCCACCATAGGTGAGTTTTCTATGCCATAAGTGTGATTTTGTATGCGGATTTTGACCATTCGCTTGTTTTATGAAGATATGTCAGTTTCAGACCAAATTTATAGGTAAACCGATGTTCAAATGATCATATTTTCATGTATTTTGATGAAAAAATAGCAGTTTTCTCAGATCAAAATGTCATAAGAAGCCATTTTCGACCATTTTCCCCATAAAAACGGTGAAAAATGATATATGATTCACTTGCCGAGGCCAAATACACGAACTGAATGGGGGTTATACACGAAATTTTATTTTTCAATCTGAAGCGGCGCGACATAAGCGCAAAAAAAACGCAAAAAAACACCACTCTTTTGAGATATTTCACTTTTAGTATTTGACTCCATTTTTGGAGGCCCCAATAGGGTCAAAGTGGGCAGTTGACTTCGTAATTTTTGTGGCCCCATCAATTATCTTTCCAACGGTACGAATGGTTTGGTAATGTGTCAACTACTCCTTAGTTAGTTTTCAGTTGGCGCAAACCCTTTTTTTCGATTTTTTCAATTTTTCGAAAAATTTACACTGGGTGAACTCAAAAATGTAAGCCACTTACAGGCCTAAGATTTTGGTTTTCTCTTTTCTACCGAAAACAAGACTCCAAGCAAATTTTCAGCCAATTCAGAGAGGGTCGATCCAATTCTTGGTGGATTTCGTGTGGAATGGTCGATAAAATAAATACAAATTTATTTGAGTGCAAAGCATGAACATTTACAAGAAAATTGTATCCAATGTCATCCCATCCACGCGACTCTATGTGGAAAGTTTGAATCAATCTGACTCGAAACGTGCATGATGCCTGAAAGATGGAAGAATAACCGCACATTTGAGTACATAAATTTCATCGATTTCGAAATTGAAACAAGAAGAAAAGAAAAAAAGGACTACCTGAGTCGTACAATTCTCCGTGGCTGGAAAGCGTTTTGAAGAAAAAAATGAAATGATTAAAAAATGTAAAAGATAACAATTTATTGGGTGTTGGATGGTATTTTGAATTAACTCTTCATCATACCTGTGTGTGCTATGATGACCCGAGTCGCAGGAATTTCTAACTTAACTAGCTCATTGCTTGGTGGTTGGGCAATCCAATCACTTCTCGACACGATCCGCAATGGTCCTGCGGTATCTGTGATTATGTCTGAGCCTATAAAAATGTAAAAAAAAGCATTAAAATATAGTAAATACTTAATTACAAAGGGGTTAGTTCTGATTATCATATTCGAAGATACTAGATTGCTTTTTTGACGATTTAATTAGCGATCTAACCTAAATGCTATTCTGTAATGGCTCTGATTCTTACTGAATAATTGTGTTAGTATCGGGAAAAAAGTGCACTGAATTTATTTTGTAGTATGAATTAATACTTAAGTTTTTGTGAAGGAAATCAAAAATTGTAACGAATTATTCGAATCTATTGTTGACGGTATGGGAACATCGAATTTAAATGTTATATTTTGATTGCTAACAATTGTTATTCTAATTCAAGTTTATTTTCAAATCGCAAACGTTTACGAGACACATGTCTCATCTTCAGGCGATGAACATAACTGATGTTGTATTTCAAAAATTGTCATATGGACACTTGATTTTATGTAAAAATAATAATGATCTATCAAAAAAGTTTGCGATTTGAAAATAAAATTGTATTAGAATAAGAAGTAAACTAACGTTTTTTTTTTTTTTCAATAAATTAATAACTAATACAGTATTCCATCGAACTAATTTTCTTTGAAAATTAAATTGTTTAATTTCTGCTAACAGTATTCAAGAAATCAATAAATTCATTTTCCCTGACGAAACTATTCAAATTCTCGATGGATACCGGTGAATTTACCCAAATTTACCACGCGATTCCGTTGGCGATTAAGTTCCGACTTATTTCAAGGAGATTTTAGAGATAATTTCGAATATTTACAGTAATTGTGGATTGAACACAATACAGAAATGTTGAAAAGAGCACCAAAAAGAATGAAAAATATCAATACAAATCACAAACATATCAATATAGCATAAAACTGTGAGTGCGCCTATAATTATTTCGCGCACTGGATTTTGATTTTATTAGCGATTTGCATCGGATAAAATGTGTTCTGGAAATCAAATTATAAGTCGGAACAGAGCTTCTGAAGCAGGGTCCGAGGGGTGAAATTCCCCCCCCCCCCCCCCCCCCCGAAGCAATTTCGGTAGATTACCCATAAGTGAAATTTTACCCATACTCTGATTGAAAATTCAAAAGTGAGGACCTTTTTGTAGGTCTTCACTTTTGGAATTACCCATACTCGATTTCAAAATAACCCCCCAAAACAAAATTTGCAATTTGAAATTACCTCTGGATGGCCAACCTTCAGAAGCTCTGAGTCGGAATACAAATGCCAACAGAATCGCAAAAACGAAATGTTTTATTCTTGTTATTTTCTTTTTCTATTTTAATTTTTGTTTAATGTGATTGACAAGTGTTATATTGTATTTGTCATTTTGCAATTTTTCTTTAAAAGTCAACAAAAAAAAAAAAACGCCATCTAGACCTTTGTAGGATTTGTACGTTATGAATGGCGCTGTGATGTAACGAAGATATTATAGGAACCTCATTTACACTAAAATTTTCATACATATTTTTTTAAAATTAGAAAACAAAAATTATAACGAATTATTCGAACCAATTTTGGAATCAATAGGCTCGTTCAATCGAGAATCATCTCCGTCCCCAACTGAAAAGAGCAACCACAAAATGCGGTTTCTATTCAAATTAACACATTTCGATTGATTTCGATAAGAAATGAAGCGAAAAGAAAGTAGAGAACTATATCAAGATCTGTAGTGTCGTTGTTTTAAATTAGTTCAAGAATCAAAAGAAAAGAAAAGGAATGTTTGTGTTTTAGAAATGATGTGTCAAACGCATCAGTCCGTTATGCATTTGGGCATTACTTACTTGACGTATTGTTGTTGTCGCCAGAGTTGAATTTCACGAATATTATTACTAACAACAATGAGCAAGCTAACACTCCAGCAGCAATGGCGCTCGCTAACGCCTGTTTATTAGTGCATTTCCATTTCTTTTCGATTTCGTCGGGATGATCTTTGGTAACTGGAAAATCTGTAGAAGAAGAAATGTTCAAGCAAAAACAAAAGAACTAAACACAAAATGCACAAAGGAAATGTGTTTTCATTCAACTTTCTTTTTCGTACAGATTCATTTAAATGTGATTAGGTGTTTATACCATCACAATGAGAAAAAATAAATAAATTGGAAGTATTTAACTGGCAAGTCGTAATTTTGATTTTCATTTGACGGAATCAAGACAAAAAATGTTTGCGTTTTAAAATAAACGAGTTCATTTTATCGATATAGTAACATTAAATTTCTTGGTCTTATTGAGAGAAACAAAAATGACCAAAGAGTCAGAAAAAAAAAAAGACTGGCCTCGCCCCACCCAATAAAATTGAATCGAAACTTAGTTGGGATTCGCGGTTTTACCAGCTTTTTATAAACTTTATTTTGCTTACGTCACTCATGAGAGAGCAAACTTCATTCTGATATAGAGATACAAACCCAAATGTAACCGTGTTGCTTGTATTCATGTATCATCGTTCTCGATAATTTAGCATCGTCACAAGTAGAATAATTGCGACTACAATAAATTCAGTATGAGGAAAAAAGTTAATTCATGTACGAACAAAAAGAAACAACAAATGTATATTATTTATGCATTCATAGCTTGAATTATCATTGTCAATCTTCACATTTGACTGCTACACGCCGGATGAGAAATAAAATTTCTTTTTTAAAAATATGAATGGCTTCCACAAATTGCGCAAACGGGAAAGTTCATAAGACACAAACACACGTATGGATTTTTGATTGCATAAAAATTTCGGTGATTTACCTTTTTCTTTTCGGCTTAGATTGTCTGTGCTGCTGTTTACGTATCCGAGGTTATCGTTTTCGGATTGTTCCGCCTCCTTCCATTTATTCTTATCGTATACAAACTGCTTTATTGTTACTGGGCCTTGATAGAACGTCTTATTTCCGAATGTAATATCGGATGAATTTTGTACGGCTATACTGCCAATATTCGGCTTTACATCATTGTTCGTACATAAAATACTCGACTGGTTGTCAATATTTTGATTTACTAACACTATTCCGTTGGGGCTTCTATATTCGTTGTCATTATTACAATTTATCACTTCATCTACGTCTGAATCGGAATCAACAACGCTCGAATCATTATCATTTTCATCTAGGGTTACGATCGATATATTATTGCTGCCAATCGAATTGGTCGTTGGCGATCTCTGTCGATTCGTTGTCGAATAATCCAGATTATTTTGATTTTCGAAAATTGTTGGTATTGATGTTGTGTGGTTTCGGTTGTCGTCGTCATCCTCGCAAGATACATCATCGATTTGAATGGGTGTCTCAGTTATCACTATATTTCCATCAACTTTGTCACTGAAATCACTGACCGTTGAACTCATCAATTCCACTGCACTTAAGACTATACCGGACATTTTGATTCGCGCCTAAAATAAAAGATTCCGTTGCGTTGCTTAATCCGAAATCCACGAAAAAATGCGGCTGTTTGAATGGTAACAGTGTCCAACATCCATGCACTAATTATTATCAAATTGCGATTTATTTTATTATATTCATTATTTTTTATCACTTTGGGATTTCGTCTGATCATTGCCTTGACAACACAGCATTTTTTTTTTCTTGACTTGAAAATCAATTTTGGGAGTGCAAACATCCGTCCAAATGGAAACTCAACGGTTTGATAACATGAAAATCCATTTTTGTTTTAAACCTCTTATACAAACGACTAAGTGTTTTTTTTTTTGTCTTTGTTCTATTCACTTGATATCAAATCGTTCGAAAAATTTCCACCGAGTTTCAATCACATATATATAATTTAACAGTTTACACAACATTTGTTGGGAATGAGCAGAGCAGAACCGAGAGATACCCGAACACAAAAATGAAATTTTAATCAAACGCTAATCGAACCTGATGAAACAATGAACGCACACACAACGTTTGCTTGTGCTCGACAACAAAGCTACTGATCATGGTATTTTGTTAATCTTTGCCATTCGTACATACACTGTGCGTAGCTCATGAATATTATTGTATGTATTATACATATACCTACGGATGAATGTATGTATTTGGCAAAAACGAGATAAACAAGTTGACAGTGCGAGCGAGCGAGCGAGATTACAAATACAATGCCCAATTGTGTTCGTTCTAAGAATCAGTTTTTTTTTTTAAATTTAAATGCCAGAATACACCTTTACTTATTTGTCTAAGCTCAATACTTATTAGCCCCGACTGCAATTTCAAACTCATACACACACACATTTTGATTATTGTTCTACTTGCCAATAATTTGGTGGACTTTTTTCGCACCCGAAAATATTTACCGTCATCGATTATAAATTATTAAAGTCGAAAGTGCCATGAAAATTGGTTAGATACGATAAAAAAATCATAAAACGTTTTTTTTTCTGTCATCTCATTGAATAGAGCCGTGATCGTAATAATAAATGCCTTCGATAATAGCGCACTCGATACTTTATATATATAATTGTTGAAATCTCTGGCAATATCAAATGTGTATGTGAGTCCAGTTCACACACAGAAATACCTGACCAGCGAAACACTTTGCCATTCTACAATCATCATCATCGCATTTTAATGTGTTTAATTTGGACGCAATGTACTTGTGTAAGATTAAAATACATCGTAAACAACATGGAATAGCACACTCAATCTCTCTCTGTGGTATGGTTGTTTTGACTGTTTTACATGAAGATACCGAAAGCACGAAGAGAAAAAAAACCATACAATATTGCCATTGGTCGAACAAAGAAAACAACTACAACCCACAGAGTGAATGTTTAAGGTTCATTCTTATCACAATATTAAGAAAAAAAAACACACTTCATTGTTCGTTCATTGTGCCATAATTATTTTAAGACAATTGCAATTGATACCACTCTGATAATCTATTTATTTAAATTGAAATGAGTTTCAACTAAAACATCTTTTTTTTCCTTCAACATTTCACATTTATTTAATTCGATTTGAAACCAAGAAAATTTGCTTGATTTTTAAACCACATGATTACAAGCCTATTTTTTGTTTGTTATTTTTTTGCGAGAATATGGGCGATAAGTGTTTTTTTTTTCTTCAATAATTTTAATTTATTTGCAAATATGTGTACAAAATGAAAGTGATAAAGAGGGTATGAATAGTGATTGGATGTCTTCACTTGATAGATTATCATGTGTCAACGTCAGAAGTTCATAAAATTGCGGAATTCGCTTATTTTCGTCGATTTTTACGTTTTTGATGTGAGTCAGATCCAGTGCCACTGGATGATGACGAAGAAGAAGCAGAGGATGAAGACGAAGATGAATCCGAATCAGAACTACTTGATGATGTGGAATGTCGACGTTGCTTTTTTGACTTTTTAGTGTGATCATCGGATCGCTTTTTCTTTTCTTTATTTTGGCCGCCGCGCCTCTTTTCCTTTTTCGACGGTTCTGAATCGGAATTGCTGGAATCGTCTGAACTATCACTACTACTAGAATGTTTTCGCTTGCGTCGCGATTTTTTGGGCGGTGAATCGTTCTCCGATGACGATGAGCTACTGTCAATTGTGTCGGCCTTTCTCTTCTTTTTGTCGCGTCGATCATTCGATTTGTCGCTTTTTTTCCGTTTTTTAGATTTTTCTCCGCTGAATTTTCCCTTGTTTTCCTCAATTGACTTTCCTTTGGGCTCTTCATTGACAAGTTCTCGTTCTCTTGATGGCGTTCTAACCAATTTGTATTGTTTACTTTTTGCGCTTTCAAGGTTCCGCTGGGCTTCCAACTCTTTCTGTAGTGCGGCACTTTTTGCTAATTCCTCTTTTGCCTTACGATCTGCGTCAAAGCTGCTGCCCTCAACAAAGTATTCGGAAATGCCAAATGCTGAACGTAACATTGCATTCTTTTCCTGCTTTGCAGCTGCTAATTGATGTGTTTCTCGCACGGCATATCGCCCAAATTCATCCTTTGGCAATTGTTCGTTTTGAATTTCGCCCAAGAGTTTTTCTCGAAATGCTTGCACTTTCGCTGCTATTTCTTCCGGTGTATAATCCTGTTCTTCTAAAATCTCTTCGAATTCCAAAACTTTTACTTCGATTTTACGCTTTCGTTCATGCTCAAGAATTTCTTCGTTTGGACCACGATTATTTATGGCTTCTGCTTGTGATAGCTCCGCTTCATTTTTGTATTTTACATTGTCCTTTTTTCCCTGGCGAACGAAGGACAGGTTTCGTTGAACATGGCCATTTGTACCAGAGCCACGGGCTGTAGAGATAAAGCAAACAAAAATTAAGATTCTTTCTTTTGCTAACGTTCATATTTTTAATATAAAATGTGTCAAAGTCAAGTTATAAATACCTGTGGTCAATCCAATTCCATTGTACATGTTTGCACCGATTTATAAGTAGATTTGCCCACTCCGAATAAACTTTGGTTTAGTAAACGTTTACAAACATTTATATCGAATACGTGTTGAAAGTTGTTGAATTTCGTTTGAAAACGACAATTCCAAACTGAAAATATGAAAAATATTAACCGAACTGTTTTGATGTGACTGCCAATAAATATTTTAAACTAGAAGAATAATTAAAAATACCTGTAAATTAGTAAATTTATTGGAGTATTTATGCACGTACGAAAATGAAAGCTGTAAAATGCGTGTTTATTCAAAAGCAAATGTCAAATTTGAAGAGGTTTCAGCTCGTTTGATGCTCTGATACGGTGGCGCCCTCATGACAGCCGGTGATAACAAACAGAAGCCTCGCATTACTTGCCACATTCAAATAATGGTTCGTTTACAGAAACAACCACAACAGAAAAGAAGAAACGAAACTTTTTTGTTCGCTCAATAAAGCTCGTAGCGAATTGCAAAGGTTTAAATGAGTATTCAATTATTAAAAGCTAAGTATTTTGTCGGTTATGACGATTTTCAAGTCATGACTAAATTTTCATCGCAAATTTATACCATTTATTATTCATCAGTACATTTTGTATGAACGTGAATTTACCTCTACCAATAGAATCAATACTTCATTTGACTATTGCGTGAACTAGTTCTCTCCTTTTTTCCACTCTCTTTTCGCGTTTTCGTTTCATGACATATATGTGTGGTAGCTGTAATTATCGTTATCTGCTATTGGGAATTTACACAAATATAAAAGCTGCACGTGTTATCAACCTATTTGCAGTAAATCCGTGCAAATGTACTTCTGAGAAAGAGAAACCGTTCATTGAGTAACCACTCATGAATGAGTGTGTTCGATTAACTGTAATCAATATATCAATGAGAATTTGATTCCCCTTTGTTTGTGTTCATTGAGTGGTTGTCGAAAAAAAGTACCGCTTGTAAATATTTTTTCTGCTGAAATGTCATATAAATTTTTGTTTCGATGAAGTAACGTCATTTGCAAACATCCGTTGATTTATATCGTAACTTTGATCGCATGGTTGCCACTAATAATCTGACCGATGATGTGTGTGCGCTGAAAACCGATGAAACTTTTTTTTTCTTTTGTGCATGTACAGACACTTTCATTTCAAGATAGGTTTTAGGAATTGTGATTCACGGAAAAGAAATAACCAATAATTTATTTTGTATTTTTTTTTTTTTTCAATTGATTTATTTTTTATAATTTTTTTCGCTTGCTGTTATCACAAGTATACAATTGTAGGCATTGGCCAGTTGTTGTTGCTGCCTTTTTGAAATCATCGATTTTTTATAGCTTGATTCAAGAAATTTAGATATTCAAGTTGTGAAATAATACAAAGTAGAAGAAACAAAAGAAGACACGATTAAATGGCATTAAGTATTTTTTTTTTTAAGATACGTAAAAACACAATACGCAATACACAAATATATAATTATTAAGATTACCGCGCGAAGAATGTGAATGGCGGGATATTTAGCAGTTCAGATGACAAAAAGAGAGATAGAGAGATAGATGGCGGTTTCGAGATAAGGAGATTGATTGATATCAAATTTAGATTGTTAAAGATTTTCGAACAACGTTGATTCATGTTGATAATGATGATTCATGTTGATGATGAGTGCGAATTGTTGTCGTTGCTGCTGCTGTTAAAGATGAAGATGAAATGCTTTTCTCCACAATCTCTTATGAAACGTAGGTTTGTCTGAATTTTTCCTGTAACAGTTGGTAGGCGGTAAAAACTCTGCAAACAGAAAAAAAGAGAGAATGTGTAATGTTTTATTCATTTATGCATTGAATATAAAGGATGCGTATTCCAATTCGGATAGATCAAGTGAGCATTTGAGATTGAAGTGCAGAACAGAACAGAGAAACAGAGGAACATCAATTATTACGAAAATAATTTTCGAGTGTGAAAAACAGCAAAACATTTTTTGTTGTTTTAGTTGCTCAGTTCACTGGCGATATTTCGCCTATTTCACTCACTGAATGAAGGTGAAACACAAATGAATACGAAACATATATATTATATCGTTTATCATATGAGATATGAAAGCCAAATGGTTGTTTTTTTTTGCTGTGTGTCGGTGAATTTATGTCAATTAGCGTTATTACGTGGCAATACAATATTGGAGTGTGACTAATAAGTGCGAAGTCATTGGGCCCCATGAGTCAATGGAATCTGTTTATCAGCACAGTGTATTTCAATTGATCATGAAATCACGATAACCGAAAAAAAGAAAATGAATCCGAAACAAAATAGTAACCATGTTACTCGTGTTTTATCTGTGTGCTCTGCTTTTAATTTATGATATGGATAGCTGACACCCGACACCCGACACCCGACACCCGAATCACGTTTATTTTATACACTTACTTATCTTTAGCAGCCTTAAATGAACGTCTTTTAAGTTTCTTCGTTTTATCACAAATTGGTGCTTCGATGGTTGGAATATCAAGAGGCTGAATGGAAGTACAGTTATCTGTGGAGAGATGAAACGAACAAACCAAAAATAAATATAACCATTCGTATCCGGATAGATTGAAACGGCTTTTATTTGTTTCACTCTTTTGCTAGTGTTTAAATTTAGCATTAAAATATGTGTAAATTGTCCAATTACCTGGGTGACAGAAGAATGCCAACGAATGTCGGCCACGCACACGAACGCTTTCTTGTTCAGGAATGATAACGCGATGCAATAAGGCTGGATAACGTTTCTGGCTCCATATCGATAGAATTTCGCCGGTGTTTATTAGTATTGCTCCCGGCAAATGGCCGACACGTTTCCATTTCGTTGAACCCGGCAATTTCACCTCAAGACCACCTTCAGAATCTTGCGATAGTAATGTGAATGTACCGTAATCGCCTGAAATAAGTCAATCGCACGATTATCAAATATTGTCGCCACACACAGAGAAACACGGCCATTGTTTTTCCAAAAAAAAAAAAACCGAACTTATTTTGCCCACGATAAACAATCAAATGGACAAAAAAGTTAACTTACAATGAGCACCACATCTGGTGACGGTGAACTCCTTTTCGCTACTCGAACGAGACGATCCCGATGATTTTGAGTGATCGCTGATGTTTCCGGTATTGTCATCGGTGTCATCGGTCTCTTCGTCGGTATCACTGTCTGAGTTCTTTCTTGATTTCTCGTTTTTCACATCACGCGGAGGAATCAAATCAATACCTCCATTTCCATTACAGCGTTGTTGGCTGTACTTACATCTTCCTTTCGTCATTTCACACTTGTTATCATCCTCTTGGATAACGGGTGGGTAATACAATAAACGCAAGGTGGTTTCATTGTCGTGATTACCCGAAAGCATATGGGAATGATTATCGAGGAAAAAATTTGATTGCAGCTCTATAAATGGCAACATAGACGACCGAACAAACAGACAAACGAAAATATTAAATAAATTATTGTGTGTTTCACATTCGGAACATTTAGAAAAGATATAAACCAAACACTTACCAAGACCAATAGCAATCGATTGCAACAATAAAGCAGATAAATGCTTAAAATCGTCGGCCAACTCGGCGATATGCTCTTTGAATCCTGGCAACGGTTGCTCAGGCAATGTGGCATCATTCAATGTGCAGATATTAAATGCATGCCGCAATTCCGGCGTAAAACCATCAAATTTTTCCTGGCTCGGTTTAATGTAGCCATGATTATCGGGAGCTTTGCGCAAATACTCCTCCTTAGTATCGTTGGGCAATTTACAGAAATCATCCAAATGCAACCAAGCAGTTTTCAACTGAAATACAATTTTGCATTTAGCATTTTATACTCAGTGCTTAAACTTTTTGGTGTTTCTTTGTTTTATTTTTGAAAGTACCTTTTCTTCAGAGATTCCGTGATTAACCAAAAATGCAATGCCCTTTTCACGCAGCGCTTTCTGCAATTGGCTTGCAACTCGATTGACCACAGATTTCTTCGGAACTTGTTCAGTGCCTGTGTTGATGAAAAAGAGAAAAATTAACAATGACAACAATTATTATTTCAAAAAGCGCAACGTAAAAAACAGCAACAATGTACATAAATATTTTGAATATGCCAAAAAATGAGCTCATTCCTCAGCCGAATGTTAATCATTTTCTGCAACAATAAAACAATATTGTGAAAGTTTGAGTGTTAACAGCCATATAAAAATAAATAAAAAAAGTGTGTACGACCAAAACAGGAGGCCGTGTCAAGCAATTGGTCAAATTTTGACTAGTTTCAACTAAATAAGAGAAAGAGATATGTACGCAGCACGAAATTTGTAATTGGAAAACCTCCGAAGAACCACGTTCGAATAAACATGACAGCCAATTCGAATTCAAAGTCCAACATTTGGTATGCCAATAACTCTCACTCTCTCTCTCTCTCTCTCTCTCTCTCTTTCTCTCAAACACGCGTCATCAAATGAAATTCGTACGCAAACAGGTGTGTAAATATGTGTGCTCTAAGTGTGTGTGTGTGTGTGCAATGATCACCTTTTACAATCGTCTCTTTTCACATTCAAAATCCAAATAATTTTTCGTTTCGTTTTGTTTCGTTTCTTGTGTGTGGGCAAAAATTGTTGCAAAAATCGCACATTGTTTTGCAATAAATTCGTTTTATGTGTGCATAGGAAAACCACCTCTCCCACTCTCTGATTCTTTCTCCCATTACACATGAGCTAACAGATATATAAAATAATATTAAAATATTATAGTTGTAGTTGTTTTCAAGTGATAACACCTCTGCTACACTACAATAGTACATGGCACGGCTACCTTCACATGCATACATGAAACATGCAAAAAAAAAAACAATAACAACAAAACAATAAAAATGAAAAATAAAAAAAAAAATGAATTTCTAGGCAATCATTGCTTCGCATGCTTATTTGTCCTTTGATTTTTCGCGCGAGATTCTCTCTTGCCTTCATTACAAGCCAATGTTTAATTATGATAGCATCAAATGAGCTGCTGCTATCAATACACATTGGAATTGAGCACACATCAATTACTTGTGCGATGTTATGTGCCATGGCAATTGGGTCAAATTCATAGCCAAAAATTACAGCATCATCATTGACAGCGACGACGATGATGGCGGCAGCAGTAACAGCAGCATCATATGAATAGATCAAATCATTCATTGCACAAATCACACTGGAAAAAAAAAACATATATTTGAATCGAAAACAAAAGTGTCAATCAAAAATTGTTGCGTTTTCACTATTGTACACAGTTCGTCACCATTCATTGGTTATGTGTATCTGGGAGTGGAATTATTGCGCGACAAAACCAAAATGTTTTCCTATTTTCACTTTACAATAAAAAAAAATAATTGAAGTGTTTGTAATCTAATTTGAATACAATTGATATTGGGCCCAAGTTCTGTTTTCATTTTGTGTTCCCATCTGTGGTGGCAAAACTCTTCTTCAATTAATTTTTCGCCAGTTGAAACCAGTCAAGTATTTAATATCCTCCAGCAAACATATGGAGATCCAATTGATAATTGGAATGCTACAGTTTATTTGTTTCACTCAAATTAATTGAGGGTTTTACGTAATCGATTTGCGCGCGCGCAAGTCAGGCAGCAGTTTATGATTGACGCATTTAATTTGTCGCCCCATTTCAATTTTCGAGCGGCAAGATGCGAAGAACAAATTGATGCTTGGAATCCGAACATGATACAAGCATCTTTTTAATTGGAAAAAATTGAGAGTATTCGAGAATGACAAATTAAAACAGAATACTTGACGGAATTTTGTATACCAGCTTTTGAATTTGACATGGCATATGTATTATACAACTTGCCAGATGCAGGTGGCGCTTCCATGCTCTTTTAAAATTGGCAGCCCGTTGATTGAATGTTTTCTATATGTCGCCATATGGTTGGTGATACTAATATCTATCTCGCACGGTCGTAATTATAATAATAATAGTGTGTTTTCTGGCTTCAGAGTATGATGGAATCTCTTTTTGAAGAAAGTGTAATTTACGGCACGACCATTTTTAAATAACTCTAACAATCAAACTGAGATGTTGATATGGGAACTTAAATTGTCCGAAATATTTTCAAATATTTGAGTAGGTCTACTCTGTAAACAAGATATATGTATTTGAGTATGTGTTTTACAGAGTAGACGTACTCAAACACCTGAAAATATTTCGGAGGGAACCTTCAACGAAGAAAACAGAAGATGCACAATTCTTAAGTAGGCAATCTAACAGACACACGGATGTTGATGACGTGATAAAGAGACGAATTTAGAACTGCGCTATTTAGTGATTCATTCGAAAAAAATCAATCCGATAAAGGATGTTGAATCCATCACATCGCGAATGGACTCGCAACTTTGAAATCAATATAATACATTTGATTGGCCTATGTTAATTGGTTACTTTTTAATTGTTTTTAGCAAAGAATATGAGAACACGGCATGGCACACAAATAAATGTTCAGATATCACTGTCAGTGCACGTGCCCGTAAAGTGGCAAAGCAGCGGATTTTCACATGAAAAAGAAGTTATAATAATGAAACAACAAAGAACACTTTAAAAGAACAAATAAAGAATTAGCATTATTCATTTGACGTGCCACTAAGCTGCTCATTCGGGCTGAGACCTGACGCCAATTAATTTTTTTACAATTTCTCTTTTATTGCCCCAAAAAGCGTCATGATCAATTACCGTGAGGGAAACGTTTTGCAAGAGAAGGAGAAAAAAAGTTCATCATCAAATTCTCCCCGACAAGGGAAAATATTATACGAAAGCAAACAACATTGTATGCGTTTTGGCACATGGCATTCGGGCATATCACGTGAAAAGTGTATAAGTTTACACCGCTAAAACACTCATAAACGATTCAGCCAACCAATTTCAAGGAACCCATGTGAAATACGATCATACTTCAATTCGATCGACAAACAACAATAAGACACACTGCTTCTGAATGAACTATACGAGACATAGTTGTCCCGAGTCGGTTGAAAACTCATGGTTTTTTTGGTTTTTTCTTTTTTTCTTCTCTCACTCTGTCTCCCTCTCATTTCTTATGTTGGAATATGATAAAAAAAAAGAAGTGCTAGCCGAGCACCGTGAAGCGAGAATATTAAATGATATTAGTTGAAAAACAATCGCAGCTGATTGGTAACAGATCAAATGAAATTCAAAGGAGCACGAGAAATAATACAATTATCAGATGATGAAATCGAGACGATTTGTTTGACGCAATTTCACGTTTAGCACTAGACCTTCTCAAAGTAACCCATTCATTTGACCGTTCGTTTATGAATACACTCTTTGATTCCGTATGGCAAAAACGAAGCCACCAAATGTAACATAGGATTTGATTAGTTATACGACATGCTTATGAATTTAAATGTCTGGTTTAATTTTCCCTTTCTCTCTCTGTCTCTTTCTGTCACACACTCACACAAACGGAATCAATTTCCTTTCAAATGAAAAAAAAAAAACTCATTTAATGCCGACTACATATGTGGCGCCTAATCTATAACGACAAATCCATTATGGAAGTGTGCTTGATCCAGGAAGCAACGTATACAATGAACAAAATGTATCAAAACGAAACGGTCCCAAATAGTAATAATAACAACCTCCGTTGAATTTGATCGAAAATGACACAACAGTGCCAATAAGGCTAATATTTGCCGTAAGTGTGCGTGCGTAACATCTAAAAAATGACTATTCGCATCGTGGTTGCGATGAAGGTTTGATTTTAATTATTACCAGTGATCGTTTGACCACAACGCCAATAGAGCGATGCTCGTGGCATTTTGTTTTTTCCCCCCCCCCCCCCCGTTTTTTCTGTGTATGTCATTTTTCCTTTTCATAAACGCGCAGACCGCCACCAATAAAGAAATCAGCCAATGAAAGAGAAAAAAATACATACGAATCGACTGAATGTAATGTGAGATAGTTAAAGTACGTTTCAGCAACATGGAAGTTTCTGTTTCTATTTCCTTCTATGGCACGGTATGAGAACATGAAACACAACAGCTGACTGAAATTTTAATGTTAAAACCATACATAAAATTCTAGTTATGTGAATAAGCAGTTGAAATACTACGTTATGGTAATGTGACTTTGTCTCCTTCACACAACAAGTACTAAACTACTTGTTTGAAAGTAAATATAAATGTGATAAATAGGCGCTCTGAAGCTGTTTGGTCAGCAGTTCCAAAATACTCGTAGACAATATATATTTGTGGATAATGGGTATTATAGTAATGGGAACCAAATCAGTCAAATTCGACGTGACGTGACGTTTCAATCAATTCAATGTGACGACAGAACCGCTGAACAGTAATAGTGGTGTCTCATTCGTTTGCCATAAGTGACGAAATGAAACAAAAAAGAAAACAAAAATCATATCAATTTCATATGTATATGAAATGAACGAACGAACAACGCGCTGTACGAATTGTTTAAGGTCAACATCTAAGCAAACAAAATAATGACTTTGCCAACATTTTGTCTGAAGCACTATTAACCATGTAAGAGATTATCTAAGCAGCAAACACGAAAAAAATAAAAACATAACATCACTGCATACAATCGAACTAGGGGCTTTTATCTCAATTCGCCAATATAAATATATATGCAAAAATAGTTAAAATATACAGCGTATACGCAGGTTAGATTTAAAATATGCACAAAATATACGACAATTATACATATATCTTATGCGATATACATGGTTACTTGTATCTATATGAAACATTCGTTTGGTTTTGGGAGTTGCTAAAATATTAAGAGAGAAGTGGACGCACAATTGCACATTGACTTGATATCTAAAAGTGCGATAGAGATTTTGGCGGTGACATATAACTATATATATAAATATATATTTGCAAAAATCTCAGTCGTTCTTTCAAAGGGTAACAAATAATTTTATGACAAAGACAATCAGTAAATAACACATACAAGAAGAAAACTGAACGTGATGCTTTAAAG